TCAAGCCTCAAAGTACTAAGTACCAGAAGAAATACTTCACTTTAATCTTGCTAAATACAAGTACATTAAATAGTGACCTAATCAACCATACCAAAAGCACTTATAATATAGAAATAAGTTCTACAGAACATAACATTAGTAAATAATTCTGTTTTCTCAACAGGATTTGAATCACACAGAAATGCCATTCAGTGACATAAGTAATGCAACCACAAACTCAAACACAAAACAAAGATTCAAATAACTACTAATTAACTGAGTACTATTTATCCTGTGTATTAATAAGGACAGGTTCTTGAAGAGGAAAAAAAGGCACTTAAGTAATTAAAGGCAATCAGTGCATAAGAACAAGGGACCAAATTTAAATCCAACTGTCTGCTTTCTACCTGCAAATTTCTGACTTTTGAACATTTAAGCTTTTAACTGCAATAACATTTTCTGTATCCAGCTCTGTACAGAGAAGCCCCACCAAGCGCAAAATCTCATCCTGTATCTAAAAGTCATCTTCTGCTATCCTATATTGATTTTTTTCAATATGAACTTAAAATGGTGCCATGCTTCTTTTTCAGGTATTGGGGGTTGGGTTTTTTTTCCTCCTTTGTCAATTCAGGAAAATACAAGGATTATTTTCTCTTATTTACAAGATACTGATACTGACATAAAGGAAATACATCAAGGTGAAATGACAAAAACACTGATGTTACAACAATATTTGCACACTAAAACATACACAAGGAAGCCGTTTCCAGAGATTTTCCTAAATGCCTTCTAGTAATAACTTCTCCATAATTGTGAAAGGTAACCATAGCATAAAACCAGAGGAGAGTCAATATACTCTTTAAAGAATATGTACCACTATAGATACACATGGCAAAATACATACTGGAAATCTTAAATCTAAATTACCTGTAAGCTTTAGAAACAGCTCCACAATTGCAACTAAGTACAGACTGAGGACTGCTTTGCAATAAAAAAATATAAATTTGCATAATATTCACTTAAAACCTTTAAGGAACAAACTAACGATGATAAAACCATTAATTCCTTTCTAAAGTGAAAAAATGTACAATAAAAATAAATAATAGTAAAATTACAGTACATTGATTTAAATGAGCATATGTTGCAGCAGCAATTCTTATATCATATGAATTTGACTTCTATGAGTAAAATGAACTGTATGAAATTGTCTTAAATGTCATTAAAAGATATTCATTTTTAAGATACCTGTGCATTCACCTTACCAATCGTAAGCAATTTTCATCCAATTAGCATTAAATTAGAAGAAAAACATTACATGAGATACATATCTCAGTATCCAAGTGTTCCAGTCACTATGACTGGCTGACAGATTGAAACTTGAGCTACAAGATTATATAAATAAAATCTTTGGATTTGGTAGAAATAATATAAGAAGGAACAAAGAAGTCAAAAAGTTTAAGTGGCAGCAGCAGGCATTCTTAAGACCCTATTTGTGGTTGACAGCTCCAGGATGCTACTAAAGTTTCTCTTCTGGTTTGAAATATGGTCTGGTGCCATATGAAACAAGACAATATCATTTAAGAGTTTTGTTGACAGCCCTATCAGTGCAGTGGTACAGCGATACTTCTGCATGTAAATGTAGAAGCACATCTCAAGAAGGTAAGTCGGAAAAGAAAAAGGTACACCTCTGTGGTCTCTTCTACTGAAGACTCTCCCAGCAGTAAGCTAAGCCAGAATCACCTACTTCGGTCCAATTACTTAATCCTATGTGTTCATGCAAGAAATCTTTACAAGCTTGGCTTTAGTTTCTGCATGCACAAAATCATCCTATTCACAAGCGAGCAAACAAACAAAAAAAAAAGTCATTTTGGACTCTGCTTCTTTCTAGTGCTCAGTTTCATTTCTTTGTAGACTTCAAGTCAGTACAAAATCCAGGTGAAAATCATGAAATTTCCTCCTAAATGAGGGATTCAACATCACAAGTCCTAAGACAGCCTAAGGAAATTCACATTGTCATCATCACTGACTTCTGAATACTAACATGAACAAGATTCTACAGAAGTTGAAATGCACTGAATTCAAAATGTAAACTACTTCTCCAGTATTCAAACATTATACTCAAAGTTTGGCACAATTCCAAAACAATGAAACAGGAGATAGATATCATAAAGGTTTTTTTCTTTTTTCTGTTATCTGCACAATGGAAATTAGCCCCATATTTGAGGTGGGCTGAAGTTTAGTGTATGTTAAGCCCTATTTTAAGCTCCCAGCCTGATTGTTCTATGTATACAACAGACAAATACAAAATGTTAACATCTCAGCAGCCCAGTTATACTTTACTGGGTAGGTGAAAAGCAGCTTTCTTCAAAATGCTCTTGTTGGTAATTAGAACTGCGTGTTGGTATGTATATTTATTTGTTAGCAGGCAGGAATTAATGGCATACTGCTGTCTCAGGTAAAAGCATTCCTTCTGAGAAAGCTCCCAAGGCTGTCAAAGAATCCAAACCTACTTTTCTATTTGGGTTATGCCAATTAATGTACTTCCTTTCCACTTTTTGATACAATAGCAGACATGAATGGCTACATGTAGTTTTATTGAGAAATTCTCAACTTAACTTATAGTTAATCTTCACACACAAGAGCCTACCCCTTCTTAGGGAAAAGACTGGAAGTGACAAGAGTCTTCTTTGAACAGTTAGCAAACAAGAAAACAGCAAGCAGACTAATGAGCTGTAGTGAGATGTCTCACCACAAAAATCTCATAACAATGCCAGCATACTTTAGAAATAGTGACACAGAAAGATATCTGTATTAGATGTATTTGTCCTCCCTCCTGCATCATCAGTACCAAGGTGCAAATAACTGCTGGAGGAATTTAGGACACTTACTAGGTGCAAATACCTATTTACAATTCATTTGCTTAAACACACAAGCAGGCTGAATTTGAAGTACAAGTATTTCAGGATCACAAATATATATATTTTATGTTTTTAGCCTAAACTTTTATATGTGAGGATATATAATCAATGCATTGAAAGGTATGTCCAAGTGTATACACTTCAGCAGACAAAAGATACATGGGAGGAATGATAAAGGAAAGGAAAGGTCAAATATAAACAAAATGTCTCCCAGTTCTATTTTCTTCAGCATTACAGAAAGCTATTGAAATTAATTTAAAATACCAGATCACACTGGGCCACCTTAGAATAAAAATATTTCTCAATGTTCTACTTCCAGAGAATTATCTTTAATGACAACAGTCACCTACAGAAAATTCAAATCCAGAAGAAAACCACACAATTGTTTCAAAGGATAACCAATCTAAGTATACTTAATGACCCCTGGCAAACCACTTTAAACCCAAAGGAAAAAGCCTTTCCCAAATATATACACCTGTCAAAATCTTTGCTACAGATATAAAAGGCTAAGAGCTTGATACAACTGTACAAAAGAATATTGGAAATATGGACACTGCAATCAATTACCATTATCCCTAAGCAAAGGTGAAAAAAAATGATAAAGAATGCAAGTCTTTACTCCTCAGAACTTAGACACCCAAATAACAGCACATCTCACATTCAGAAATCTTTCACAATGCAGGGAGCACTACATAGCTCTCCTAGCAAGCACTGATCTGAGCTAGACTATCCAAAGGCCAAAGCATGTCAGCCCAGAAGTAACAAGACCAGAGCAGTTCTCAGTTGTGCGGATGAAGCAGGGCTCACACCCTGAAGCACCAGGCAGCAACTCTGCTCCAAGTCCTGCAGCTAGAACTTGTTCAGTCCCAGTCAGTGTGTGCATTCTTGGCACAGATGTACATACAGTTGTCAGATACCTTTATCACTATTCATTATTTCACCTTTGTACTGTTACCTGAAGCTTCTGATGGTGGCCACTGCCAGAAAAAGACCATTCATGCACCTATGAGTTGTTTGACAATAAAATACAAGTAAAATCCCAAGGACAGATGCCATAAATAATTCTGTGCATGCACAGAATTCTGCCTTTCAGGAAAATTGTTTAGGTTTTCAGAGAGAGCTTATAATCTGGCAAACTTTGCCAGTTTGCATGAGTCAACTCATTGTCCTTGGGCACAGTTCTTTCCTATACATACACACATATAAATGATACAGACCCATTGTATTCATTTCACTGAAAAGGTTCCAAGGAAGTCTTCTCAAGCTAAATATCAGGGCATGCTCAAAAATGACAACTATTACCTCCTGAAACCATAGCAGACAACCACATCTAGCTCCAAAATGCGAAGCCTGAGAGACTGCTCAGAAGATATCCTGAAGAAATGTTTAACACATTTCATTTCATCCTCTCTATCTAGAAAGGAGCTTTTCTTACATTCCAGAAATGCTAATTTTTACATTAGTAAAAATTGTTGCTCCCATGAACGTGCAAACACATACAGACTCCACAATTCCAGTCCTTCCAGTACAGACTTTTTTTTTTTTTTAACTTCAGTTGGTAAAAGTGTGCTTCCACTCTTACAGCCTGTGTGTCACACTGAATATTATGCCATCCATGAAATGGGAGTCTTAGCAAGTAATTATCTTTTGTTGGCAAGTTTACATATGTATAGATCTTTAGATAAACACACACCATCATCATGTTAAAGCTTTTCGACAAAGATGAAACAAGCACATAGCTTTGCACCATTTCTGAGATTTGTAGACTCAAGAAACAAAGAAACAAATGTAATGCCAGCCCCCCCATTCTCACCACTAGAGACATAAATCATGACAGTATGTTCACAAGTGCCAGTGGCAGCTTTTGGACCTTTCAAACCTGCCTCCTTGTGAAACAAACTGGATTAAGATTATGACAGTACTTTACATGTCAATAAGAAGTCAATAAGTCAGCAATGACAAATGCAAAAAGACAAAACTGCTGGGCCACGCTGAAGTAAACAATTTCTACAGAAAATTCAAATGATTGCTTTTATCTCTTCCAAATGATATTAATACAGCTAAAAAACTCTTAATCATATTAAGTTTACATTTTTAAATTACCTGTTTGAATAATTCCAGTAACAATGGAGAGATAGTCCTCAGGTTCCTGATCAGCAAAGATCTCTCTGCTCCTTCCACTTAAGGTTAGTAGCTCATAAAGCATCTCTGAATTCTCCACCCCACAAAGCAGAATCACCACGTTATCTGGAGGTTGAAGAACGTGTGCCAGAAAACAGCAGCTCTCCTGGTTCAGGCATTTAAGGAGTCCATATGATAGTATCAGGAGTTTACACTTGTAACAACGTAAAGAGAATAACTCCAGATGCTTGAAAGACAGAGTCCCTAGATTGTAGAGTAAGATTCCTTCTTCATTCACTACGTGTCCAAAAAGAGATTTCAAATACAGAGCCCACTCTTCTGCTTCTTGTTCATATATCACAAGAATATCCTTTGTATGCTCTAGAAAAGAAAAATAATTTCAAATCCATTATAAATATTGGATGCCAGGCCATTAGTTTCCACCTGCCCGTCCCCAAATATTTGTGATAAAGAAACAAAACAGGTCATCAGCCTGAAATTACATCTGCATATTTCTAAAACAAGGCAGAAAGATTACCCTCTGAAATACTAGCAAATCAGAATAGAATCAAATAGTATTGAAAAAAAAAAAAAACCACACTGAAATCGGTGTTGAAAGCGAGTGCATGACATATCCAGCTCACTCAACTTTTTGATAAATAGGCAATACCACTGAAAATGCAGCAATTAGCTTTTAACTGCAGCAGTAATGAAAGCACATTTGATCACTGCACATGATCTGATTCACTAGAAACAGGACTGGTACATTTAAGATATTTTGGCAGCATGGTATTAGGACAGTTGATAGTGAACTTTCTTTATGGTACCTATTCTGGAAAAAAAAAAATCACAAAACAAAACCAAAAAAAAAAAAAAAAACTACAGTTGATATGTGCTTTATGAAATAAGATGCTAACAAGACTAACACTCTTCTGTGATGTTACTAGGGTAATGGTAAGAAATAGAGACAACAGCCTCAAATGAACAGAGAAAGTTTCATCTGAATATCAGGAAGGAATTTTATTTTGAGGACAGTAAGCACTGGCACAGCTTGCCCAGTAGGGTCATGGAGTCTCTCTCTCTCTCCTCAGAAATCTACAAAAGTCATCTGTACACAGTCCTTGGCAATCTGCTCTAGTTGTTTGAGCAAATGATCTCCAAAGGTCCCTTGCAACCTCAGCCACTCTGCTACTCTGTGAAACCATAGTAGCTGTGACTTGCTAATCAGTGCAATGCATTGTAAGATGCCAGGACATTTTAATACCCCTGGAGTAGGTTACAATCAAAGATCCATGGAACAACCATAAGAGACTGAGGAACAGATACAGCTGCTGCATTCTACCTCCATTGAGCTTCACTGTCTCCAAGGTCCCTGATAGGCCAGGTAATCTGACTGTCTACTGCTTGCAATGCACCAGAGCTCCATCGCAGGTGAGTATCCAGGTTTTTTCTTGGTCAGTATCAAGAGATACAGAAATGGTGGACATACACAGAGCTAAAAGGTTTTTTGCATGCATGACATATGTGGATACTGGGACATGATGATGGAAGCATAGTATAGATGTATCTCAGGTGATTAAAACAATACCTGCAAAGAATCCTACAGAAGTCCACAGCACAAAAATCAGAAACTGAACACAGAGTCCAGGATTAGTCTGTTAATTATTGGACTTTGCTTCTTTTTAGAAGAAATTCCTTCACAATTTTGGTCACTGTTAGGAGAGACTTCAAAGTCAGCCCAGCTGAAGGCAGACAAACTTGTAGAACAAGAATGCCATAGCTTAGTGTCTAGTATTCATTATATGTCTATCAACTCCTTGCAGTATAGCTGCCCTCTTTTAAAGACTTGTGAATACTCGTCCTCTCAAGAAGTTTTATAATCACAGGAAATTATAAAAGGTTGTCTCAGTACAGTAGTGGCTGACAGATGGCTGAACCTAATTAATGCACTAGAGCAGTGTGTCTAAATATTTTCAAAAAGGAGATAATTACATTTTCCATAGTAAAAGTTCCAATTTCTGCTTAAATGCTAAAATGTAGCTGTAGAATTAAAAAAAAAAAATAGTAGCATACTCCTCATCTAAGCCAGAGAAAAATGATGTGGTTGCTATAACACAAGGATAAGAAATCTAATGGTTTTACAGCACTTAGCTACAATGGTATTTCTTTTCAGAATCTCATTTGGTTTTCTTCAATTCTCACAACAAAAGTAAAACCAAAAAGCCATGAAGCTTGTTGCTCAGTTTCAAAAGAAGAAACGATACACACAGCTCAAGTTCCCTGAGTAAGATCTGACTGTTTGATAACTACGTGAAGTAAAATCACCAATCAACTTCTATTTTCAGTCCTTAACTTCTAAGAGCACTGTAGTAGTCATTAAAAAAAATATTCTTTATTTAAAGAGGATGGTTAACCTACAAAGATGTAAGAACTCATTACTTACACTGCATTTAAGCTTGCTTAGTTTCATCTTCCAGCCACAGAACATTTATTTTTGGTTTTGTTTTTTTTTTGTTTGTTTGTTTGTTTTTTTCCCCTTGTAATTTTGAATGACTCTCCAAGATCTCTCCCTAAGGTCTTCAGTCCCTCATGAAGTGACTCAGCCTTGCCTCGGCTACAGGTCAAACCAGGTTTATTACACTTCCCCTTAAAAGAGAGGCTTTTAGAACTCCCACCACTCTTTCTGTGCTTCTGTGAACTCTCTTGGCTTTTCAGAATGCTTTCTGAGGAACTAAAAGCAATATACAGAGTAGGAGTTCCTTAACACAGTACACAGGAAGAATAAAATATTAATCTCACTTGAGATAATCTCTGCTATGTCCAGAAAGTTCACATTCAGTCTAAATTAAAAGATCTCATTTTCAGTTCACGCTCAGTTGTGTTTTTTTTCTATTATAATGAATTTGGGCAAGGTCAAATCTAAATGGAACTGCAGGGAGGGATAAAATAAGTTTGGTTCTGAAAGCATATTTAAGTTGAAGGGTAAAAACCCCTTTTTCTTGCCTCACAGAATCTTGTGCCCTCATCATGCACAAGTGGGATGTGCTGATATCAGCCACAGCACCCCATGGCCAATAGGTTGCATCCTCTCCGTGCTGACAGTAGTTGGGAGGAATGGAGCACAACTGCACCTGCTCCTTTGGAGACTGGAGGCACCAAAAAGGCACTCCTGGGTCCCAGAGCAGGAAAGAATGACTGGATCCAACCATTCAGGCACAGCTGAAGAGCTCCTCACGTGCTGTGCACAGAAATGCAACTCTTTAGGCAGAAGTATTTCTAAAGAGTTGCCACCAAATTATAATCATAAAGAAGTATACACAGGGTATAAAGTTCACCCTTGTGCAAATGGAAATTACAAGGCTTGAACATTCAAGAAATTCTAAAGAGAAAAGTAATCAAGTTGCCCTGAAATGAGAAAAGCAGATGAAGTGATTCTTTCCCTGCACTGTGTATCTGCAACCATGCCCATACCTCTGATCTTTGTTAAGAGTGAATGACAAAGAACTTTTGAGATATTTATTGAAGGCTCAGTTGTACTTCTGAACAATATTGATTTTTTAACTGAGAAATAATGCTTTATTTGTATAAAATGAAGTGAAAAGGATCAAATACCACACGACGGAAGAAAGGCTCTATGATATCTCAAAACTTTAATACACCTGCCATATTTCATTTGTCTTTTCTACCTCCATAGAGAGGGAAGAGTCACACTGCTGAGGAAATTGGCTTATTTCACACTGCCATTTGGCACAGCGCCTATTGATTAGAAGATGGTAACTAGTGCTATTAAGTTACTTGTGGTAAATCAAATGTTCTCAATTACATGCACAAATATTTTTCTAGCCATTGATCTGTTAAAGTATCCTTCAAAATTAGTTTTGACATTAAACGCAACATATTACTTGCTCAAAACTGTATTAAAAGTTAAAAAAAAAAAAACCAAAACAGTATTTTAAAATTCTTGCATGACTTTAAATGTTTCCAAAGTTTACCCTAAGAATGGTTACAAAACCTAAAATCTACTTCATAAGCCTTACATGCTCCTGTTAGTGCTTCACCTTTAGAAGTCTCACTCCGGTGTAAATGCCTGACCACCACGCAGTTGAAAACCACAGCTCCCCCCAAGCTCCATCTTCAAAACACTGTTTTTCATGTGAAACAATGTGAGCTGAAAGTTACCTTTAAGGCAACACTACCCAGAACTGAATACATAGTAACATTTCTTAACTTTTCAAATTGAGCTTTTTCTCCTTCATTATTTTCACCTCTCAATGAATATTTCTTTGAAGTCACTGCACTTGGACTATAATGCAAGTTGAGATGAATTTTGTTCCCTGGGAAGTTAATGTAATGGAAACTATCATATCCTGACAAAATTAAGCCATGCTTCACCTACTCCTACTTGGAAACTGACTCAAAGGTAGAAATAAAGTGTATTAGTTGAATGCTGAGAAACAGTAAGAGAATTTATGCAGTCAGCCACAGCACGGAAAGGTTCTTCTGACAAGCAAAACTATTTGCTAGTTACTGATGTGTAGATGATAAAAATGCCCATCTTACAAAACATGCTACCTGAAGCCTTCTTTGAAAAGACCTGCTCAATCTAATGAGAACTGGAAGAGATGAGAGCATCCCTACAGTCTATTGCAACCCAAGCGGGAATCAATTACTGGTGCATGCACAAGGCAGAAGAACGCCTTCTTTATGACAATTAAAGGATATATTATGGAAGGGGGAAAAAAAGCAAGCATATTTGAAAGTGAAAGGAAATCTCCAGAAGTTCGCAAAGCACACCAGAAAGGCAAAGGAGAGGAAACAGAACTTTGCAGGCAGTGGCTACTACTAAACACCTCAGTTAATGAATGTAAAGTTTTGTCATGCTGTAAAGTGTTTGCTTAGAACTGAGCATGAAGTACTTCGGTACTTTTATGTTTGATAATAACATTCCTACATTCAGAAAAGCAACAATATTTATTTCCAGAAAACACAATTAACTTCTTTTGTCTGACATAAATGAGGCTGATTTCAATTCAGCCAGGGTTTGAAAACCTGGGTCTGCAGTTCCATTGCCTAAGGATATTTTGGTAAGAGAAAGTATCACACAATCACTATCGTGTACTCAAGTTTTAACCAAAAGAGGCATCACATCACTGTATTTATCAGGTCATCTACAGTGCTTTC